GTCTAAGAATGTAAATAATATTATTACTCAAAAAAACTTTTTTGGGGAAAAGTGACATGTTAAGGTTGCGAGAAAAGTGAAAAGAAAATCGCGCTCACTTATTTTTTGTCGCTAGCAATAAACTTTAAATATTGAGACTTATTAATACGTAATCCATTGTCATTGTTCATAGTCTTTCATGCGCTTTTTGACATTTATTTGCAACCGTTGATGTCTCTGTTTTTTGTGCGGTAAAAAAGTTCTCGAGTTATAGTTATAATTCTGGTAAGGAAGAGACTTGCTTGGAATTTTCAGTGATTTCTAAGTGAAGGACGTCGTTTCAGAGCCGAATTGATGATACACTAAAAAGATATTTTGTTTGAGGTTAAATTCTGGGTTATCTTTGCTCAACTAAGAAAACTATGTGTTGTTACGTATTATGTGTCTGTATAGGGTATTTTATTTGTTTGAATAGTCTCACATACTTGTTGGTTTGAGCTCTCATGTGTTATATTTTTAGATAGATGTGTCGCTCGTGATTGATTAGAATATTAGAATGGTGCCATCGTTTCTTTACTAGTATTGCTGATATAGCATAAAATACAGCATAATATATTTCATATATAATATGGCTTATTTTATTGTTTTATTTTCAACTGACTGTTTTCTTTCTATGTAGGTCAAGCCACTTCGTCGCTCTTTTTTTGAATTTTGACAACTAATGCACATTCCATTGTCTAATTGTTGTGATTGATACATTCATTTTTAGGTGAATGATGTGATATGTAAATTAGGTTTTTAGTTTTGAGTGCTTTAAAGTTTTCATTTTTTTCAGCCTGCTTTTCTGCGCTAATTTAGATATTCCCACTTCTTTGCTGTTAGTCTTTACAAGGAGGTGTTAACAACAAGGTATAAGATCGGTATTTGAACATTAGTTTATTAGGACTTGTTTTTGAGTACCATTAGATCTTCAGTTTTGGTTGTTAGGATCTTTTCCCATTGGGATTTGATTTTCTTGAAAGTTTTAAAATAATTATCCTTTTTTCTGCATTTTATATTGGCGTAAAAAATGGTTGGTTTTTATTATGTAGTTATAGTCTGACTTAAATTGCTGTAAATGTGAACCGGTTTTTTTTTAAATATACTTGAGTTATGTTGCTAAAACAATTGCAAACAACTGATTGGTGGAGAAAGAGCAAAGATGTTAACATGTAATTTCAATTGTTAGGAGGTGCTGTTGAACAAACTTATGAATGAAAAACGCAAAGTGGAAATGCTGCTGTAATTGGAAAGAACCAAATTTTGGTATGATCTGCAGTTGATGAAGTTTTGTGAAATGCTGTGGTGGTTGACAGTTCTAAATCCGATATAGATAGAAGATTTGAGTGGAGTGTTGAAATCCGTATAAGTTTAGGTACAGTTTGAAATAAACAGTCGGGCCAGTTACCACAGTTTTTAAGCTGAACGGATTTTGTAGGTTTGGTTCGGTGGAGCATTTCAAAGTGCAGCTTCATTTTTCTTTGTTTTTCGGGGTAAAGGAAGTATCTGGTGCAGGAAGGATTTGTAGACGTCAATTTGTTGTATTGAGGGCAAAGGACAAGCAAAGTTAGAATCGTTACACGGAG